ATGTGGTATTTGCAAAATCCTGTGAATAATACTAAAAACCACTGAATTGTACACTTGGAAAGGGTGGATTATATGGTACGTGAATTATACCTCAATAAATCTGTTGTTTTTAATAAACGAAGGTGCAAGGAAGGGTATGAGACAATAAATTACTAAAGAATTAGTGAAAGAAAGATGTCGACAATCTGGGACAATGGTGTAAAGTCAAAGGATGGAAGCTTTTCCCTAGAAGCTGCCACACCACTGCAGGTAGTAAAAGAGTGAGGAAAAATAACAACATTACTACTTAAGCAAGCCCTGGTTAATCATGTTGCTCACTTGAGTAAAAGTAATGTGCACTGCTACCTCCATCATGGACTCTCTTGAAATCTGTTCAAGGTTCTACTAAGCCACGCTTGTTATTAGGTACCGAACTCTCTCCAGATTCGAAATTTCTTTGACAGCCTATTTTGCTGGACCCTATTTAAAGGGCACGACTAACCTGATAGAGCAGATCAAGCCAACAAAAAGAATGAATGGTTTACTTGGCACATCCATTACTCCTGATCAACACCTTCCCAATTTGGCCCAAACAGAAGGAAAATAAATGCATTAATTATGTACCTTACTTTCCCATAAATTGGTGCATTTAACCCTCCCACCTCCTACCCATGTTACAGATAAGGAAAGGGGTACAGAGTGAAGAGGTGCCTTTCCAGAAGTCATACAACTAGCGGCTAAGTAGGAAAACTCAGATTTGTTGTGCCCCAAATCCCGGTCCTTCCCACTGAGGTAGAAGCAGTGAGCTGCCCTGCAGAGTGAGAGTTCTTAAAACAATCTCTCCCCAAGAGTCCCTTCCCCTGACAGCTGTTCTCCCAGCATTCTGAAGTTGTACTTTGTGTGATTGCTAATTTTAAACCAATGACAACATTTACACATTAAACACTTCTCCAGCTTGTTCCCTTGACAACCACACACCTAAGATTAGATACAAAAAAAAAAAAAAGGTTTCCAATTAGTACTTGTACTTAAAATTCTCAGTTTGACTGCTAAACATGGAGCTTCTATATGACCCAGCAATCCCACTCCTAGGTATCTACCCAAAAGACACAAAAACACTGATTCAAAAAGATACCTACACCCCCATGTTTACTGCTGCTTTATTCACAATTGGAAAGACATGGAAACAGCTGAATACCGACTGGATTAAAAAGATGTGGTACATATACACAATGGAATATTACTCAGCAGCCAAAAAAAAAAAAGAAAGAAACACATGTCTTTTGCAGCAATATGGATGGAACTGGAAAAGATCATGCTTAGTGAGATAAGCCAGAAAGAAAAGGAAAAATACCGAATGGTTTCTCTCATAGCAGGAATATAACAGAACAGGCGAGAAAATAATGATAATGATGAACAGCTATATACCAGAGACATTTTGTGGGGGTGGAGTGGGGAATGGGATCAAAAACAGTGGGGGGAGGGAAATGCACTGGACTATGGTGATGACACACGGGTGCTTTGGTGATGGAAAACCCAAGGGGATTGTAACTGTTATGGAAAAACACACAAAATTATGTAAAAATAAACTATTATATATATATTAAAAAAGTCATAAAAAATACTCAGTCTGAGAGGAGCTAATTTTTAATGGGCTTTTAAAGAGAGAATATGAAGTTTTTCAATAGCCATATAAAATGGCAGTCACTTAACATTGCCACTGAAAATATTGTAATAATATTTTAAAAAATCAGTTGAAGACCATCTTAACCTAACGCAACTCTCAGGTTACATTCACATCAGATCCTATCCCTACAAGCAGCCTGAACCAACAAAGTCTGAAGTAAAAGAGTTTAGAGTTCTCTGATGCACCTATACTTGTTCTGTTAAGCATTAAACTACAAAGGCCAAACACAAAAACACTTCCATTGTTTAAAAACAAGCTTAAACCGTATAAGATTTCATTCACCTAACATTTTCAAACCCTTTGCTATATATTTACATTTATGTGCTTGTATGCGTGTTGTATTTTTTTCTACCAATGAGATTATATAATATATACCACCCTGTTATTGTTTTAAAACAGCTTTCTTAAGATATAATCAACCTACCACACATTTCACCCACTTAAAGTGTGGTTCAATGGTCCTAGTAGTCATATTCACAGCTTCTTTTACCTCATAAAGAAACCCTATACCTTTGATCTAACTTTATTCTATCTTCTCATAGTCTCCAACCATAAGCAACATTGGTCTACTTTGTCTCTATACATTTCTCTATTCTGGAGATTTCCTATGAATGCAATCATATAATGTAATCTTTTGTGACTGGTTTCTTTCACTTACGGCATCATGTCAAGAACCACATGTGCTACAGCATGTCTCAGCTTCATGCCTGTACATAGCTGAATAATATGCTGTCATATGGATATGCCAGACTTGCTCTGCTGTTTCATTTAATATGTTCCTTCCATTCAGTAGAACCATATGTATGACTCTTTTGTAGTGATTGAATAGTGTCATATAGTTTTGATGCAACATAATTTATGTAACCATTTCCCTATTAATGGATATTCATTTCCAATGTTTCCCTATTATCAGAATAACTTAAGATTTCTTTGGAGAAATCAAAAGTCCATCTCTCTTGGTAGAGGGACAAAGTCTCTAGATCATTGGTTCTAAAAGCATGTTCCCTTAACCTGCAGCATCCCTGGCCACTTGTTAGAAATGTATATTTTGGGGTTTTAACCCCAGAATTCCCTGCAGAGGGACCTGGTGCTCACATTTTAACAAGCCCTCCTTCTTGCGATGCTGGTACACTAAAATTTGAAGACCACTGATTCACAATCTCATTCACTGCAATGCAGTGGCTTTCATTATTTGGCTTAATATAACTAAAAAATGAGTACAATCACAGAAATTGGTTTAAATACATGATTACAGTTACAATCATAGGGCAAAGAACAGTGAAGGGTAAGTAAATCTTTTTTCTTTAACAACAGTATTTTTTTTATTTTATTATAATAGTTTATTCTTACATCATTTTGTGCCTTTTTCCATCTCAGCTGTAATCCCCATGAGCTTCCCGTCACCAATTCACCCATGTGCCATCACCATAGTCCAGTGCACATCCCCCCCTCCACCCCTCCATTTTTGATCCCATTCCCCACTCTATCCCCTTAAAATGTCTCTGGCACATAGTTGTTCATTATTATCCCCCCCCCCAATCCTTTATGCTCCTGCTATGAGTGAAACCATCCAGTATTTTTCTATTTCTTTCTGGCTTATTTCACTAAGTACGATCCCTTCCAGCTCCATCCATACTGCTACAAAAGGCATGAGTTTATCTTTTTTGATCACTGAGTAATATTCCATTGTTTCTATATACCACATCTTTTTAAGCCAGTCATCTGCTTTTGGGCATTTGAGCTGATTCCATGTATTTCCAATCGTAAATAAAGCAGCAATAAAAATGGGGGTGCAGGTATCTTTTTGAATCAGTGTTTTTGTGTCCTTTGCGTAGATACCTAGGAGTGGGATTGCTGGGTCGTAGGGAAGCTCCATGTTTAGCAGTTTGAGGAACCTCCAAACAGTTTTCCATAGTGGTTGTACTAGGTTGCATTCCCACCAGCAGTGCAGGAGAGTTCCTTTTTCTCCACATCCTTGCCAACATTTGCTGTTGCTAGTTGTTTTAAGATGTAGCAACAGTATTTTACTATAAACAAAAGCTCTCTCCCCCTCCCCCATGATTTCCTTCTCTGTTCAACCCCTCCTCCTCTCCTCTCTCATCCTTAAAAAAAACAACAAAATAAGCATTTACATAGAATCAAGAGGCCAGGAGATTGATAGCTTTTCCTCCCTGACCCTAGCATTTCTGTTGATGAGATACCCACAGGTCAATGAACCATAAAGCCTAGCTCCAGTTAGAATACAAAGCTTTGGAAAACTACAATTTCACTGAAATTACAGATGGGAATCAGAAGAGAATGTAATTCCTAGTAGTGTCATATTTTGGAGATAAGAAAAATGAAGCACTGGAAAGGTTAGGTAAAGCAGTATGTATATGCATCTTCTTAAACAATGCTATGTACCATACTATGAACTATACCCCAAGTACCTATATTGCATTATATACTGCTTTACCATAATGGTTCCTGACCAGAACGTATTTCTGGGAGAGTTCTTTTAAAAAATACACTTAGATTCATTTTCCTTACTTTACTAGGAGAAAATTGATAAGGTTTAACTGCATCTAGAGGACATTTGTGGACAGAGAGTACTTTACTGTCCGCGTGAACACCCATAGAGGTTTGGGAGTACTCACAAGGGGCAGAAGTACCTGGATTGCTTCTCCCTATGCTACATAGTTCCAAATTGCGTTATTTTGTATTCTTTTAGCTTTCTATTGTTTTTTTTTTTTCTGGCATCTCCTCTGATATTATGACTTCTTACATTTATCAGTGTTGTTTACATCCATCACTCCTCACCCCTAGTCCAGCAATTATTTAGTAAGTGCCAAGGTGAATGGACACACCAAATAAATATGATCTTTGGAACTATAATAAAGGTGGGAACAAAACAAAAAACAGCTGTAAGCAAAGGACAGAAAACCATAGTGCAGGGATTCTGATATTTGCTTTGGCTGAGAGGTAATGGAAAATCCACACTGCCAGATATAACACGCTGCAAAAAAGTGGAGTGAGCAAGACCTCCTTTACAAAAACAGAACAAAGTCATCCTCTTGGGTTGTGTTTTCTTTTAAACATTTAAAAGGTATACAGTTTTCCTCTGATGGTTTCACTTCAAGTGTTCACTTGCTTTTCTTGTTAATGAATAAGCTTTAGTTTTTTTAAGAGCAGTTTTTGGTTCCCAACAAAGTCAAACAGAAAGGACAGAGAATTTCCCTAGATTCCTGGTCCCTACACATGTACTAACTACCCCAACGGTCATGCCTTACACCACAAAAATCCTGGCTGCTTTTCAAAGCTAGATAAATACTACAAAAGGAACAACATAGGTTACCTGTAACACCACCGAGCTGTGGGTATTGCTGGTAAAGATGCGTGTGGTTCCTGCCTTGGAAGACTGCAAATGGGATGACAGGCCCATTTCGCTGCTCCCAAGGGACAATTTCATATGTTGGTCTTCCTCTTCCACTAGAGATCTGAAAATTTTTTAAAATTAGAAAGGCAAATTAAACCTTTTCAGAGAATTCAAAATTACAAGGTTATTTAAAGAAGTAATCAGTCACTAATGCCAATCATCTGAATTCTGCTTCACTGTATTTTAGGCTCATACCATTCTACTCCTAGAAGAAACTTGTAAATGGCATTCAAAGCTTAGAAAGATAAATGAGAACAGAGAAGCCTGTAATGACACTATAATGAGAATGGGATTTGTGTGTGTGTGTGTGTGTGTGTGCAAAGGAATTACTTTTGGTATTATACTGTTTGGGTAGCAATACTATCAAATTGTGTTATGCAGTTTAAATTAACTTGTAATTTAACTTGTAACATGCATAATTTAAGAATATGAGCTACAGGAAGGTAAAAATAACTTACCTAATATCAAAAAGTTATTCAAATAGTTGGGTCAGGGTCTGATTTTAAATCTAATCGGATTCTGAACTCCAAAGATCCATTAATAAAAGTCAAAGATTAATTGTGATAGATTAATACATTATTTCTGCTTCTGTTGTTACAGTTTCAATCAACCCCAACTGAACCAAAAATTTTACACATGAAATGATTTCTTTTCCTAGAAATCATTTGGCATTGCTTAGCTAAATAGTTACAGTCTAGTGGCACTTCCACCTGTTCAAAGAAATAATAAAAGTAATAAGCACATTATAACTTTTCAGCAGCTATAAACATAACCTTGTAGCCAATAAGCCACTTTTACAAAGAACATGACAAAATATGTGTCCTTATGTAACAGCTGACCACTGGGAAATAATCATCCCTCATTTCTTAAACTAGGCAAGTGTGATTTTCAGGGATACATTTACTAAAATTATCTCTGAAAAAGCTTGTACATTCATGATGGAGACCTCTAAAGTGGATATTGGGAAAGAAGGAGGAAGAATGGATTTCTAACTAGTAGAACTATATTTTTCCTATTCAGATACAACATTCTAAATGTTGAATTATTTTTCTGACTCTGGGCTACACAATAGCATAAAGATTTCACCCTCCCCCCCATCATACCTATAATTAGCTTTAAAAAGAAGTCAAGTTTGACCATCCCAGGCTTTTAATAAAGATCCTGTTTTCTGAATCCTGACTCTAGCCAAATGGCTTAAATCCTGTGATAATTAGCAAAAAGTCTGATGACAGAGGTGACATCAATTCTTCTTAATGATATTATAGCCATAGTATAACCAAAAGTGATGAATAATACATAATCATGTTTTATTCAGCTCTCATGGATATTTAATAAAGAGAATAATTTAAATGATTTCAAAAGGCATAAAAGAAAATGAATATAGCTTTTCCACAAGTTTCCGAAATAGCTTTTAAACAGAATTAAATTGTATGCTATACAGCATAAACATTCACATTCACTTTGAAGTCTTCCCATATTTTCTCTGTCATTGTAATTAGCATTTGACTTGTCAGGTCTGCTGCCTTAGACTCTTTTGTGAAAGCTGCCTTTTGGATTTTTTTCTGTGTTCTTTGTTTTATCAGTTATGGTAGATTCCTGTCTCATTTTACTTTAATTAAACAGTTTTCATTCCCTAACCTGATGTGTGACCTTATGTTAAGGTTATAGGTTGCAGGAAATAATTGCAGGCTGTGTGCCCCAGACCCCAAGGTGTCGGTTGCTTTAGGCTGACTATCCCTGCGCCTGTTTGCACAACTAGAGCTCTAGTGCCAGTAAAGGGTGGAAGCTGGCCAGTGAGGAGCCAAGAGGCTACTACCGAAGAGTAGGGACACTTCCCACCTCCTAAGAGGCTACGTACAGCATCAGCCCCAACTGCAAACTATGGGGTTGGTGGGCTGGGTATAGGGGATGGTGGTGCAGGGCTCCAGAGAAAATCTGCAACAACTCCCCCCGCCAAGACCATCTCCTTAAGGCTTCCCAAGTATCCTCAACTAACACTGACCCCTGAGTTGTGGTCCAGCTTTGGTTTGCTGGTTCTGCGGGTTGTATTTTTCCCCAGGGATGCGGACTGGAGCAGAGTGATCTGGAATCTGTGGTTTCGGACGGCCAGCAAGCTACAGTCCCAATGGCAGTTGAGGGGCATGTGTTTCTTAGGATCTGTGGGTGCTGTCCACAAAAGACTGCCTCCTTTTCGGCCCCTCTAAGTATACTTTCTCATGGACTGTGGTCAGGGCAGAACACTGGATACTCAATTCTCAGCGGCTTTTATGTACTGAGCCTTCACCTGAAGTCAGGCCCTAGGTGTTTTAAACTCTGATTAAAAGCAGCAAGCAGCTTAGGCAAGTCATCCTGGCAATCCCCCAGACTGGTTTGGGCCAGGAATGGTACTTAACATAGAAGTCAGTTCCTAAGTGTAGGGCCACAGGGGGGCCTCTTCTCATTTATATCAAGCTCCTCTATCAAGTCTCCCAGGTTCAACTCCCAGTTAGGGCCACAGGCTCAAGCTGGCAGTCCCCAACTTTGATATGCCTAGCCGTGGCAAAGTTGTACAATGGCCTTGGACACCTCTAGAGGCAGGGGTGTAAGGTGTTTTCAACATCAAGCCCTTGATTTCTTGGTGACTTCTAGCACTCTGCCTTTGCCAGCCGTTGTTCTTCATCAAAGCACTGGCTATGAATCTCTCCTCCCACAGACACCCTCGGCCTTCCCTTTGCCACCAGAGGTTGCATGCATGGCCCTCTCCAATACTGTGTCATGGTCCAGGTTACCAATATGCAAGAACTCTTCGGTCAATAACAAACACGTGACAGTCAGTCCCTTCCTCGGTTGGATCAGACTGCTCTAAGAAGCACTCCAAGCAAAATTATATTGCAATTTTTCCTACCCTCTCTGCCATGTTTCTTTTCCCTGAGATACCAATGAACCTCCAGTCTTTCTTCAAGGGCTGTTGTTTATTTTCTCTGTAGATTACTGAGTCATCTTTTTGGGGAGGAGTTGAGCTCCGTGTCTACTCTCCTGTCACTTTGAAGACACACACTTTTAAACATCTTTTGCAGACAGACATTGAAAATTACAGAATCAATTTGGAAATGTGGGAAATATTGATGGTGATTGATATCTTTAACCAGAAAATTTCTATTCATCCAGAATTATCTTAATGGAATATTCAAGGAGAATGCTTTATAACTTTCTGTATTCCCTGCAGAGGACCTGGCACTTGGGAGGCTTAATATATGTCATCAGATTGAATACAGAATTCATTTCTGTAGATCATTCCAAAGACATTTCTTTAACATGCAGTGCTTTAAATGTCCACCAATTATCATTTTTATAGAAGCACAGATATTAAAAAAAAAAAAGGTAGGAATAATGCTGAAACCACATTGCACATTGCCCCATGACATAGCCTAGAATTCGTTTGTTTTTTTTTTTTTGGAATGAGCACAGATGACAATTGTTTACTGGTCACTGTTTCTAGCTCTGAAAACTGAATGCAGAAGGTGAAAATATAGCCTTTTCTTGGCAACATAATATGGCTGGATTTCTAATTAATTACTTCAAAAGCTGAGGAAACCTTCATTAAAATAATCTCCATGACTTTTTATCAACATCTTTTGACTTTTGAACATTCACAACACTCCCTATTATTTCTGTTTCAGCAACAGCACATGCCATGTCAACCTTCTTAGCAGATTCAATATACTCTTCTATCTCCTTTTCATTAAGTTTATTGACTGGATGTGGAGAGCATTGTTCTTCAACAGTGTAAGGAAGTGAAATCTCTCTGCAAACCCCTGCCACAATTACATCAAACTATCTTTAAAGGACAGATTAGCTGAGTAATTCCAGGCACAGAGAACATTGTTTGATCTTATTCTTTTTCAAGTCACATGGTTAAAAGCACAATAAAGACCACTGATTCTGGGGGAAGGAAGAGGAGGGAGAACCAGGGGGACTTCTCGCCCTATACACAAGCATTTAGCACTGTTTGGAAATAATTTTCATTGTTGCAAAGGTGGGTAGGGACACTACTATCATACAGTGGGATAAACACCTACAATACAAAGGAATGTTCTTCAAGTATAAGACACACTCAGGCAAAAATGTCAATGTGCTGGGGTTGAGAAACCCTGATAGAGGGATCAACCTTTTCAGGAAAAAAAAAATAAGTAATTAATGTGCTCTAAATAAGTTCCTAATCTGAGGATTGACTCCATGAGGTAACACTGCCAGCAAAAAAAAACACAATGAGATTATTATTAACCACAAACTCTTAAAGGCCACTAATAAGAGAATACCTCTGCTCTCCTTAACACATCACTTTGAAAAACCAAGGTTGGGGGCTTCCCTGGTGGCACAAGGGGTTAAGTCACAGCACTAAGAAGCTATCCATAGCCACTGCAGCACAAGTTTGATTCCCTGGACAGGGAGGTGACCCACATGGCGCAGCAGACCTCTCCTGTCTCACCAACTGCTCCCCTCAGTTGTATATATCAGACGAGCTGTCTGTTCTGCTCCCCACTCTATCTCTGGTGAATCCTCTCACCCCATGCACCTCTAGCCTACACCCCAGTTCTTGTATGTGTAAATAAATAAATATTTTTAAAAAGTGTTTACAAGTAGATAACTTGATAACGGCTTTAAAGTTCATACGATAATTATGCAGGAAATCTTTTGTTCTGTATGAACTCAGGTAAGAATACTTCCCTGAATCTGCTTAAAGTTGTTAGTTGAACTCATTTCTACATGCTAAATTACAGTAAAGCAAGCCCTGTCCAAATACTCCTTTTTCAACGGTACTATAAATAATCCACAGAAAGACTGTGTTCATCAATTTTCTTTCTAAAAATCAAATCGTTTTTCCATACAACTATTATCTATTGGGAGCATGCCACTCCTGCCACCCCATTACCTCTGAACACATCTTATTTTCTAAACAATGACCAAACTCAGAGCATAAGAGCAATTTTTCACAAAGTGTACATGCATTAGTCAACTGGGCTTGCTCAAAGGGAACAATTTTCTATTTCAAAGATAAAGGCACAGTCTGATCATCTTATT